CGTCTTTTTTATTTGTTTGTTTGCTACGCGTACTTCGGGATTCGGCTTAGAATTTCTACTTTTAGATCTCAATTTATTTTAGTACTCTACCGGTGAGCGATTCTATGTCACACTGTTCGGTGGATGAACTGCACACCGGCTTGGCAAATGCCACAAAAGAAACTCATAACCTATGGGAGGAGAACAAAGATTTGCAGGTTTGTTAGTGACCGTGTAGATTAATTTAGTTTCTTGTTCAAATCTTTGTCTGTTCAAGATATCAGTCGCTTTGATTATAATCTAAAAATTATCAACAATTTTAGCTTCTTAAGTAGTTTTAATCTCAGTTTTTCTTTATCATCGTATTTTAGGGTAGATTTGTAAATGATCTTAACGAAATATCGCGGATCCAGCAAGCTATCGCTCAGTTAGAGCGGGAACATCGTCAGGAACAACTGCAGCATGTGGGTTTCTCACATAATTTGGAGGTTCTAACTGTTTATTCTTCGATATTGATGAGGAAGAGAACAGAACTCACTACATCTTCTACAATATTTGCTTTTAAACTGTATTTTCATAGTAAGTACCATCTGTACTAAATGTAAGTAGTTGTTAAGGCGCGTCAATCAATGACAGAAATGCAGAGGAGAGCATCACAACTATACTCTGTGCTGACTACTAAAAGAGAAGAAATTGTAAAGAAATTGAACGATGGAACTAATTTTGTAGCTTTGCTGCAAGTAATTCTTAAACTTTTTCAAAGGAAATTCTTTTTGCCATAAACTCAACTGTCTTCTAGAATCAATTGATCAGTGAACGTCTTTTCGAATGGAAGAATCGGCAAAAACTTGCTCAAGTAGGAGTCCCTTTCGATAATCGCGATGTCATGCTAGATGAGATACAGATGGAGTAAGCGTCTTTTTTTTTGGGCATAGGTACTGATCTTCTTAATTCTCATTTAGATTCGAGTTCTTAGCAGAGCAAAACTGGCAACTGCATATGTTCGCTAGCTGGACCTTAGATTTACTTACCAGAGGTAA